AAAAAAAAAAAAAATGAAAAATCGCCCGCTGCTGGAGAGTTAATCCAATTTCGACGAATTTCTCATTTGAAGTACGACAAAATCGCGGATAAAAAGCAAAATCGCGGATCAAGTTCTTTCTCCCTTTCGCAAGGTAACTTTCAAACGGACGTGAGAAAAATCTACGAAACTTCGCGTAGTAATACAAATTTGCAGAATATCAAGGGAAAAAGAGCCTCGCTCCGTTTTGTAACGGAGAAAAGAGCCTTTGAAAAAACGAAGTTCAAAAGTATGGTAGGTTTCACCCATTGAAATTTAAAATTTCACACCCCTTTTCAGCACGAAGTTGCGTGCAAGAGTTCACAGATCGACAATTTATTGAGATTATTATTTTGAAGAATAATCGCGAATGAATTGAATCTCTTTAAATAATCATTTAGATAGTCTCCTTCGAGTAATCACCAAGAAATTAAGTCTCTCCTTATTTGAACTCTATATTGGCCATGCTGTTGTGATTTAATCGAATATACCAATGTTCCAATAGCCAACTGCTACTAAAAGAAAAAAAGAAAAAGGAAAAAATGTTTTGTAATCTCGAAATAAGGACGCGGAAGAACTTTGAATTTGCCAGAATGAACCGACGATATTTTGATATTCCTCGGGGAGTTTGATTGCATTAGGGGCTCGGGTCATATTTCGATTGCGAGTCCGGTTGCGGTCCAATGAAGTATCTCTTAAGAGACCGATCCAGTTATAAATCCGGTCACGTTCAGCTTTTGCCTCGGTTTCTTTGCCGGTAAAAAATCCTCCGACGAGCAACCATATATCCAGTCGCATTTTTCATCCCTCCGTCTGACCCGTGTCGACTCTTTGAAACGCACATACGCAAGGAGAGTTCGATGTTTAGGGAAAGGCAGAATCTTATACCAGAACGAGAACTCTGAATTCAGCTCGTCAGATTTTTTTTTTCCCCTTTTTTCTTTTTGTAGCTTGACGTTTCATCCAAATTGGCGAGTTCAGCTTCGCGATGTTTCCTCGTGAATTTTTCACATTCCTTTTCGAATTATTTCGCATTTTTATTTTTCAATGCATTTGCTATTGTTCAATCGTGCTTGATATTCCTTGTTATTAATCAGGCAAGAACAATCGAATTTGATTTTTATATAATAGAATAATAATAGAATTGAAAACTTAACGAGCAATAAGTAACGGAGTAGAACTTAAGCAAAAATTTATTCCAATCATTGCAATGTTTGCTTTATTTTAGATGTTTCATACAATTTAATAGAACATACGAGCAACGTGTTGTTTTATGCGAAAATTTATAAAATTGTGGAAGAAATTAATTCATTTAGTTCTACATTAAAAAATGGATGGTGTAAATTTTATTCGTAATTCGCGAATTAGTGGAATCGTTTATAAGAAACTTTAGAAACGAAGTGCAGATCATTGGGAAAAATGTTTAACATGATTAACATATGGTAGCTACAAGTCCCCAAGGCAAATACAATGCGGATTTTTATGCATTTTGTGGACAGTCTTTTATTCAAAATTTTAATAATAAATAAGACAGCAGAGAAGAATAAAATACCTGTATCTTTTAACATACAGAACATAAGAGAATAGAGAATACCATGCTCTGTCCCAAATTGAATTAACCTAGTAAATTTGGAGAACATTTCAGAATGAATCCTCACTATCCATTTCGTACAGACAGAATTAATTTTGGGTTGTAATGGACGAACCAACAACAATTCGAGCGAATAACACGCGTGTAATATAATCGCTGTCATTCAGCGCTTAGCCACATGTTCAATGAACTTATGAAGATTATTTAATTAAATTCATCGAAGACGTAATATAATAATATATCCTATATTACATGTACCACGAATTTTCATGCATTTATAGGAAATTTTAAAGTTGCACAAATGCGTGTACTATGCAGGAATAAAAAGTATGTGGAAAATAAAAGGAAAATAAGGAATAATGTGAAAAAAAAGAAAAGATGAAAAATTCAAAATGAACTATATACTGTCGATCTTTTTTTTCACAAATGCAGTGGTGCAGTTGCACTATTTTTTATTTTTTTTATTTTTTTTTAATAGAAATGTAGTTTTTGCATACTTTTTGCATATAATAGTGCTTTTGCATACTTTTTGCATACTGTACTTTTTTGCATATAATAGTGTTGGGGTAACGTGAAAATCGACAATTAATGAGTTTAAAATATATTTAAAACTTTAATTTTGTAGAGCTTATCGCGGTGAAAGACAAACTCGAGTCGAATGCTTTACGTTGCGCTCCAAAATATAAAATTGAGATGAAAATATTTTTCAAGCTAGTCATATTATTCTACGTTCATTGTTTTAGAATATCGGAAAAGATTTATTCCAACAAAATAACGCAACAGCAAATGCACGTGCATTGTTGAACTTTCGAA